CCAGTTCTTTCTGGCCTGTTTCTAACATTTTGAAAATTCTGAGTTAGGAAAATCTCCTAACATATTTGCTTTCATTATTGCGTTGGGTACAAATTTTGATATGTGCTGATCATCTGAGAATTATGTTTTGAAACATATACTTTATCAACAATCATTTATTTATTTATTTATTTATTATTGTGAAAATACTATACAGAGGGGTTACAATTACATGGGCAAGATAGTGAGTACATTTCTTATCAAGCATCGTTGCCTCCTCCTTTGTTTCCCCATACCATCCCTTCCCCTCTCCACCCCCCATCTCTACACCCCCCTAGCATCTCCCCCCAACCCCTCCTGCCAAAGTTGTAAAGTTCGTTTTTTGACATAAAGTCTTATACATATCATTATTGTAATGGGTCCACTTGTAACCCTATTTAAACTGCTTGTTTTTTCCCTTCCCCTCCACAAATTATATCAACATCAAATACAGTGAAAGCAGGGCTTATACCCTGGGGGAGGAACATACAAAGCAACAAAGAAATCATCTTATAAATATGTTGGAAACAATTGCAAAAAAGAAAAAAGCATTTGAACCCTTATCTTGGGGTTCATTTCACCTAACATTAACTTGTCTGACAGTTTCTGTTTGTCTCAGACATATACTAGTTATTGCAAATAAGGGAAACCCTGGGACCTATATTTCTTTGGGCCTGGCTTACTTCACTTAATATAATTTTTTCCAAAAACAATCATTTATAAAAATATTAAATTACTAGGCCAGTCACAGTGGCTCCCATCTGTAATTCCAGCTACTTCAGAAACCAGCTATTTTTCCCCAAAAGTTAGCAAGACCCTATCTCAACGAACATTCTGGGAGTGTTATGTACTTGCCTGTTGTTGCTTACTGAAACCGGGTACAACATGATGGGATACTGGAGCTGAAGAAATGAGAAAAACAGAGAGAGAGAGAGAGAGAGAGAGAGAGAGAGAGAGAGAGAGAGAGAGAGAGAGAGAGAGAGAGAGAGGGGCAAGAGGGACAGGAGGCCCAAGGTTCACTGGTTCTTTTGGGGGGGGAGGTCCGGTTGTGGGGCCTGAACTCTGGGCCTGGGCACTGTCCCTCAGCTCTTCAGCTCAAGGCTAGCTCTACCACTTGAGCTGCAGCGACACTTCCAGCTTTTTTTATTCTGCTTATGTGGTGCTGAGGAATCGAACCCAGGGCCTCATGCATGCAAGGGAAGCGCTCTACCACTGAGCCACCTTCCCAGCCCGGTTCACTGGTTATTGAATCCCGAGTTACTGTAGCAAACTTATTTATTAGATTTAGTACAGGGAAATTTGCCATGTGTGCAGGCAGGAAACAAGGCACCTAGACTGTTATTCCAATCAAAGACAAAACAGTTTGTGAGAATTACTGTCTCCTTATTGTTTTGGGAGTGAAGACTGCAACTCAGGCGTAATTCAAACTTGTATTCTACTTTATCTAGCTTTAAAGGTTCAGCTCTCAGCCCTTCCAGCACTAAGGAAGAGGGAGGCATTTCAGCCTCTTAACACTTTCCAGAGCTGGCTGTTTTAACCATTCCATGGCTAGTTCTCAGTGTTCCAAGTGCTGTTGAGGTGGCGTTCCAACCTCTCAAAGCTTTTCCATGTCTCATAGCTTACCTTCAGAGTTCTCTATACCTATGACCCTAGCTTCATGAGAGTCATAGGTCAGAGAATTGTAGCCTCAGGTCAGGTCCAGGAAAATAACCTAAAACCAAAAGACTTGGAAATGTGGGTTAAATGGTAAATACTCAAGGACCTGAGTTCAAAACCCCAGTACCACCAATAAAAAATAAACATGTTCTGTCTATACACACAGTATATGTCTGTCTGTCTATCATCTATCTCAGTTATTAATGGTAACAGTTGTATTTTCTGAATAAGATCTACAGGTGTTATCAAGACAAACAGGTGTTGAATCATGACTCTAATATCATGAAGACTGTGTTTCTTCTGCGGGTTCTAAGAGTAGCTTGGTATTATTGACCTTTCAGCTTCCACTATGTAGGGTACATTAGCTGAGATATTCTAGGTGAGAAAATTTTTACTCAGGTACAGGATGAGATAAGGAAGATGAGTGGCAGATGAAGTTCCAAATTAATAAACCCAAATAAGAAAAAAATATGTGCTCTGCATCAGATCTGTTTCAGACCATGCAAGTCCCAGGTCAGCTTTCTAGCGAAAACTGAGGTGCAGTCATATCAAGAAACAGCAGCCTAGGGAATCTCATGGCTCATTAGGCTGAGCAGTGGTGTGCAGACCATAAAAAAGTAATTTGAGAAACATCCAGAACTCTAGGGACAGATCTTTCTGATTCACATAGGCTGCCATCAATGAAAGCTTGGTTTATAAGGAACCAATTAAGGTGCAGGCTGAGCAACTGCAATGGTCAACTAAGGATGGCTTATTTTCCTAGCCTGAGATTGAATTGTTGTGATGAATGGCATAATGAATGAATAACATATTCCTTTTTAGAAATCACATAAATCCTGACAAGCAATGGTGTAAGTTCCTCAGACATGCTTATTCCACTCTCCTTCCTGCTCATCTCCCAGTCTCTGATGGTTTGTTAATGCCTGCTCTCATCTGCATTTTTCTCTGTATACTCTGGCATTCATAATTTGAAACTTAATAAATTATTTGCATTTTATGTTTTTACACTTAATAAATAAAATTCCTATAGCATGGGTGGATTCTAGGGCTTGTGATATATTGGAAGGTAACAACCAGTGTTGGATAAAGATCAGACTAGCTTAAGATAGTTGAAGGCACTGGATTCACAGCAATATTTTCTTGTCTATCCAGTTCTAATGTAATCCCTCATAGGACCTAATATTCACTTCTTTAATATTTGTTAATATTGCTTCCTTCCTAAATATTTACTTCCTCCAAATGCAATATAAAGTGCAATATTCAAACAAATGCTCAGAGCAAAGGTTCTACCTTTTTTCAATAGGAAATGCAACCATGGATGCAATTTCCAACTAATGGTGAACATTTCTTGGTGTTTTGGAAAAATTAGAGGAAGTGGAGGTATGGCTCAAATGGTAGAATGTCAGCTTTGAGTGAAAGAGCCTAAGTGAGAACACAGGACCCTGAGTTCAAGCCCCAGTACTGGCACAAGAAAAAATTAGAAAACATGTCCTATAATCCTAGTTGGAGCTCAGATGATATTTAAACACCAGCTATTTTTTTCACTAGACTAAATTAATTGTACAAGGGAGTTTCATTGTGATATTTATATGCATGCATATAATGTATCTTGATCAAATTAACTTTTTCTCTATTATTCTATCCTCCCCCTATTTTTAACAGTTTTTGATGAGTTTCATTGTGCTATTTTATAGTATATACATATATTCATCTCATAGTAAATATATGTGTACACACACAAACACACACACATATATACACACACACACCCTAATCTTTTCCCCTCTCTTTCCTCCTAGTGGTTCTCCCTAAAAAGTCATTCTTTTGTAATCATGTCATATTACTGTTATTATTATTATTATTATTATTATTTTTAGTAGTAGTAGTAGTATTTTTTGATCTAGAATGCTTATGGGTAAAAACATGCTATAATTATTTTTCTAAGCTTGGTTAATTATTTTTCATTATTGATATGCTCAGGTTTTTTCCTCTAATTATGTTTTTTTGGTGCAATACAGACAAAAATTAACAGACAAAATAGCCAAAATACAGTACTGTTCATTTATCTTGAACATAATTTTTTCCATGAGGAAAACTTTACTCCTTTTAAAACTATGTTCCTCACAGTCCTCTCTGGGCCTCTGTGAAAAGCCTGGGCATAGCTGCTGAACTATCCTCAGCCAGTTTGGTGGTTCCTAGAGCTTGTTTCTCCTTCTTTCATTCCATGCTGTGGAACCTCCAAATAGTTTCATTTATCATTAAGGATTCTTATTTTCTTTTGCCTGTTCGTGACTTAAAATGTTTTTGCTGACTTTTGTAAACTGTTCTGTTATTCTTAGGACATGAAATATGAAACTCTAGATTAGTCTGATCCTCTTGCTAGGAATGGGAAACAAATCTGGGCCTGCAGACTTTAGCCAAAGGAATGTTTTCCTGTGTTTTCATTAGTATCAATTAGTTGCACAATGGGCTTTCATTACAACACATTCATATGTACATACCATGTTCCTTGACCAGATTCATCCTTTCTCCCTTCCCAAACAGTCTCAACAATCTTCATTGTTATTTTTCACACATAAATCTGAAGTGTTTTGATTGTATTCACCCTCCTTTGCTCTTTCTATTCACTCTCTTCCCTCCTGCTAGTATACCAATCTTAGACAGAACCTGAGACCTGATGACACTCCTGTCATTCATTTTTTTAGAGGTGGTTCACAATTTCATATACAGTTGTATATACAGTTAATGAGATTGACTCCTAACCCACTTCCTTATCTCCACTACCCCTCTTGTTCACCAGCTTTCCTTTGGCCATCTTTGTTCACGGGTGGAATGTATGTCAATATTGTTCACTCTCTTTCTCTTTTCAATCTTCTTATAACCTGTTCTTTGTGAGACTCTCTCACAAAGTATTATATTTAAAAAATATAATACTTGAGATTAAATCTAAAAGTTTAATGTGAGTTTATTCTTGTCAGTTAAGCATTAAAAAAAACAGAAAGAACATTAGAATGCCATATCAGTGTGGAAATTTACCATCCTTGGTATGTCCAAAGAAAGTTGAATAATATAGCACAGTATGCCAGCACAAATGAGAGCAAATGGTTTACTATCCTGTATTTTGGTTTTATTTTCTAAATAATTCTAGAAGTAAAATGCTCCCTTCCATTAATTGTGAAACTGTAAAATTAGAGGCACCCGTGAGCCTAGTAGAAAATGAGGATAGTCACACACTTGGTGAGAGTTGCATCCAAAATCTCTCTCACACCAGCTACATTTAAAACAATATTAGAGGTAGGACGGGGTCAAGGAAAAAGGGTGGGACAATGAAGAGGAGAATGAGAGGAACCACAGTCAAGAATCCAATGTATGTCCTACAAATTAAGAAGAGTGAGGGAAAGGGTGAATAGTGGAGGAAAGGGTGAGAATGTTGAAAGGGATGACATTTATCAAGATACATTGTATTCATTAGCTGCTTTATTAAATGGCAACTTTTTGTACAACTACTTAAAATAATAAAATAAATAAATAAGACAAATAAAAAACAATATATAGGAGAAATGTTTCTTGGCATTAATGAATCTCCATTTTAAAATTCAGGTATTTTTCTGCAAAATCTAGTATGAATGACTTTCTTAAATTTCTCTGAATGACATGAGAAAACTAGTTATAACATGGAATATGAAACTAGGAAAATTGTTTTATTCACTTTGCCTAGAGTTAGTGCTAGATATAATATTGTTTATTCTAGACTTAGAGGCATCTACTAACTCTTACAATTCTTCCATGGGAGAATTGTTTTATTTGTATATAAAATTTTTCCATACATGCAATATTGGGTTTGAAGTTGTGAGTGTATAGCAGAACAGAAAACAAAAGATATGGTGCTATATATTTTCTTATGTTTATTTATGGTTGTTGAAAGGTGCAGAAACAGCATCATTCTGACTATCTTTTGTGCAAAAATAGTTTATGGTGGGCTTTTATATCTTCCTCAATGATTCAGATCATTGCTTTTGATCTCTTTGCTTAGTGAATTAATGTCTTCTGGCCATTGTTTTTCTCATCCTGAAATAAAAACTTCCCTAAACTCTAAAGGTAAATATTTTGCCTTGTCTGTACAAAATCCTAAATCTATATGACCTGAGATAAATGTAGTAATAAAGACAAAGCACATGAGCTTCTTTTTAGGTGACTTATATTACCTAATATTAACATTTCTAATAACTACAAACCTTTTCTGAATTACAACTCTTGGGTTGAAATGAATTAGCTCTCCCTTCAATTCTTTGGTTCTCCATTTGATTTATGTTATTGAACTTCTGCTATACAGTAAGTATTGTGGTGTGATTGCAAAAATGAGTAAGACATTTATTCATTTCTCACCATATTTTCCTTTTGTCTAACATACCTTTTGCTCAAATTTTTTCTTTTAGGTCTTTTGGTATTCTTGGAACAGTGAATAAAGAAAATGACTCTAAAGTAACAGAATTTGTTCTTATGGGCCTATCATCCTCATGGGAAACACAGTTATTTCTCTTCCTAATATTTTTGCTATTTTATGTTGCTATTGTCCTGGGAAATCTCATGATAGTGGTAACAGTGCAAACCAATGCTCAACTGCTCCAGTCTCCTATGTACTATTTCTTAAATAACCTCTCTTTCATTGACCTGTGCCTCAGCTGTGTCACTGTGCCTAAGATGTTAGGGGATTTCTTACAGCAGGACAAGACCATCTCTTTTTCAGGATGCCTGGCCCAGATCTACTTCCTCCACTTTCTGGGAGCTAGTGAGATGTTTCTTCTGACAGTCATGGCCTATGACAGGTATGTGGCCATATGTAATCCTTTGCACTACCTGACAGTAATGAATCGCCAGCTATGTCTTAAATTGGTGTTTGCCTGCTGGTGTGGAGGTTTCCTCCACTCCATCACACAGGTAATACTGGTTATTCAGCTGCCATTCTGTGGCCCCAATGCTCTGGACAATTTCTACTGTGATGTTCCACAGGTCATCAAACTGGCCTGCACAGATACTTATGTGGTAGAAGTGCTGATGGTCTCCAATAGTGGTCTGCTGTCTCTCATCTGTTTCTTGGTCCTGCTATTCTCCTATGCTGTCATATTGATCACTTTGAGATCTCACCTCCGTGAAGCCCAGGGCAAAGTACTCTCTACCTGTGCTTCCCACCTAACAGTGGTCAGCCTGATCTTTGTACCATGTGTTTTTATCTATCTGAGGCCATTCTGCAGCTTCTCTGTGGATAAGATATTCTCTGTGTTTTACACAGTGATCACACCTATGTTGAACCCTCTCATCTATACACTCAGAAATTCTGATATGAAGACAGCTATGAAGAAGCTAAAAGAGAAGCATATGGCATCCTGTTGCCTTATTAAAAGATAAACAGGAAGCCAGGCACTGGTGGATCACACTTGTAATCATAATTGCTCAGGAAGCTGAGATCTGAGGATCACGGTTCAAAGCCAGCTTGGGCAGAAAAGTCCTTGAGACTCTTATCTCCAATAAACTACTCAGAAAAACAAGGAAGAGGTGTTGTGGCTCAAATGGTAGAGTGCTAGCCTTGAGCACAAAGAGCCTCAGGGACAGCACCCAGGCCCTGAGTTCAAGTCATATGATAGGCAAAAAAAAGATGACCAGGAAAAAGTAGTAAAGAAGTCATACTCATTCTTAGAACACTCTTATGCTATATATTTGTGCTAACCATTTCGAAGATGTAGATATGAAAATCAAGGCAGAATAAAATTATATTGTTTTACTTTTATGTGTGTGTGCTGGTACTAGGGCTTGAACTCAGGGCATGGGCACTGTCTCTGAGATTTTTCACTCAAGGCCAGCACTATGGCTTTTTGATATTTAATTGGAGATGAAAGTGTCAGACTTTCCTGCCTGGGTTGTCTTTGAGTTGTGATCTTCAGTTAATTTAAGTAGCTAAGTGTACAGGAATGGGCCACCATTGGACCAGCTGATGTATTACTTTTAATAATAATTGGGAGATAGGAATTTTCTTTGATGCTACATATTGGGCAGGGAACTCAGGAGCATTGACAACTGATAGGAATTAGTTGAATAAGAAAGTCAGAGGATACTTTTCAAGATCAACTCTCCTATCCTTTGTCTACAACCAGTCCATTTATTCTGTTAGTTTAGTGTTTCACTGTGTTAAAATGAAATCACACATTACAATTCTTATCATGTCCTGCTCTTCCAGTATCTAAGATTCCTAAGTTTCATCACAGCTTCTTTGGGAGCAGTGTGGATTCCATTTGTTTTTTCTCTTATAACACTTGTAAGCAGCACTGAATTCCCTATATATTAGTATTCATCTAGGAACCATGTTACATACTGTACCAACTTATAGAAACCAGTCAGTTGAGTGACCATGTTTTCTTAACAAAGTTTATGTATGAGAAAAGAAGTCAGGAAATTATATGTGATAGGAACTACTAGCATTCTATAGTAGAAGCTTTTCTAGGAAGGATCATTTATTTTATTTTGATATTTATTTTCCTTTTGTATTATATTATTTCTTTGATGATAGTATGGTTTCAACTCAGGGCCTCACACATTCTAGACAGATGTTCTTACTGTGGAGCCACACCTCCAGCCATAATTTTGGTGCCAAAGTGTGTGCCTGAGCACAATCCATCTAGAGTAGGCTTCCTAACTAGAATGACAAGTACAAGCGCTAGAACAGGAGTCTTTCTCAAACTTTTCTGTTTGGGCTGGCCTTGAAAGGCCAATTCTTCCAGTTCCAGCTTCCACAGCAGCTAGGAATACAGTTAAGGGCAAACGGCATCTTGCTCAAATTGAACTTTTCTGTTAGGAAAGGTAAGTTTATAAGAAAAAAAGGCTAAGCTGATAGATCCTTATATATCACCCTGCACCAGAATCAACTCCAAATGGAACAAAGACCTTGGAGTCAAAGCAGACACTCTGAAAACATTACAAGAAGGAATAGGAGAAACCCTACGTCTCCTTGGCACAAGCCGAAATTTTCTTAATAGAGACCCAGAAACACAACAAATCAAAGAAAGGTTGGACAAATGGGATTGCATGAAGTTGCAGAGCTTCTGCATGGCCAATAACATAGCTAGCAAGATCAATAGAAAGCCTACGGATTGGGAGAAGATCTTCACTAGCCATACAACAGACAAGGGTCTCATATCTAAAATATACTTGGAACTCAAAAAATTAAATCCCCCAATAACAAATCCTCAAAGAAGCAACTGCCCAATAAATAAGTGGGCTAAAGACTTAAAGAGAAACCTCTCTAAAGAGGAAAGAAGTATGGCCACTAGACACATGAAGAAATGCTCAACCTCTCTAGCCATAAAAGAAATGCAAATCAAAACAACATTGAGATACCACCTCACCCCAGTTAGAATGGCAAAAATCAAGAACTCTAATAACAACAGATGCTGAAGGGGATGTGGACAGAAGGGAACCTTACTGCATTGTTGGTGGGAGTGTAAACTTGTTCAACCACTTTGGAAAACAGTATGGAGGTTCCTCAAAAGACTCCACATAGCTCCCCTATGACCCAGCAATCCCACTTTTGTGCATTTACCCAAATGTTTACAAACATGACCACACCAAAGCTACCAGCACGACTATGTATATTGCAGCACTATTTACTATAGCTAAGATATGGAACCAACCCCGATGCCCCTCAGTAGATGAATGGATCAAGAAAATGTGGTATATATACACAATGGAATTCTATGTCTCCATCAGAAAGAATGACATTGCCCCATTTGTTAGGAAATGGAAGACTTGGAAAAATTATATTAAGTGAAGTAAGCCAGGCCCAAAGAAACATAGGTCCCATGGTTTCCCTTATTTACAATAAGTAGTATATATGTGAGACAAGCAGAAAAGGTCAGATAAGATGATGTTAGGCAAAATGAACCGCAAGATAAGGACACAAGTGGTTTTTTTTTTGTTTCTTGATACTGTTTCTAATATATGTATAAGGTACCACCTGATTTTTTTGTTGCTTTGTATGTCCCTCCCCCACAGTATAGCCCCTGTTTTCACTGTATTTGATGTTGGTATGATTTGTTGAGTGGAAGGGAAAAAAACAAATTGTTTAAATAGGGATACAGGTAGACCCACTGCAACGATGAGATGTACAAGACACTATGTTGAAAAACAAACTTTACAATTTAGGCGGGGGTTTGGGTGGAGTGGGGAGGTAGGTGGTGCCAGAGTGTAGCTGAGGAGGTGGGATGAAAGGGATGGTAGGGGGAAAATAAAGGAGGAGGCAACAATGCTTAATAAGAAATGTACTCATTACCTTGCTCATGTGATTGTAACCCCTCTGAACAGTATTTTCACAATAAAAACTTATTTGAAAAAAAAGAAAAATAAACAAAAAAGGAAAAAGGCCAAGCTGAAATTTAAAGCATTCTCCTTGTCCTTGGAGGGCTCCTAGTTATCACCACTGTGACAAAAATCTGCTTTGAGGAGTAGGCATTATTACAGTGTCATTTGAATTCATTTTCTACCAATTATTTCAGAGCTGTGAGGTGCTTGTCCATTACATATTCAAAAATATCAGCAATAAAGACAATGAATAATTTTAAATAATTAAACTATATTTTCCCCCTCAGAAAAAAGTATCTCAGTAATATGGACAAATTGCTTAATATGTACTGTATGTGTTTAGGAGCTTCAGATTTAGGAGATTGTTAAAAAAAAGGTTCACTTGACATTAATATTTAAGGTTGCCTGGAAAATGTTTATGAGTATTAGTATTTAGTTAATTGGCAGTAATTTGTTCACATAAGAGCTCTTTATAATGGACCAAAAGATGGATTTTTTTCTGTTGGACTTTGTGTTTAAGAAGCTATATGTATCAGAGGCATCTTAAGAGATTAGAAGGAAGATGGTGGAGGAGAAGCTGGGGGTTAAACAAGCTCTCACATAGAAATAAGTTTTAGTGTTCCAGTGAAAAGTCCTAGGCAATAGAGTCACACCAAGTGTGCCATCATAATACAGAGAGTTTGGCTAGAGGGGAAAAATCCAGGCAGCTTGGTTAAGGAGACAGATTATAGGTCTTGCCAGTGTCTGTGGTGGGGGGGGCGGTGGCAGCTGCTGCAGCAGTTGCTATCCAACAGAGAAGAGCCCAAGACAAAGGTGCCAGATGCAATGTGTTGCCAGATTCTATTCACCACCAGCAAGAAGTGACAAGGAGTGGGAATCTTCACTGTTCTGGCCACAGATTGTCACAGACCCCTGGATAGCCCGGAAACCAAGGATTAGCATTAGTACCACGAGACATCCTCACTAACTTTCACAAAACAGCAGTGGAAAGGTAGCCCCTCCACCACCACTGGAGAAAAACTTCATCTTTGATAATGACAAAGGCCTGGTCAGAGCAGCCAGCATTCAACTTAGGCCTTGGGAGAAGACATAGGAGCCATTCAAAAGGTCACAGGAACCTGACCTGCCCCAGCTCCACCCTGGGAAAAGTTGCCCTTCCCAGGTAGAGAAACCTCTGTCCCCAGAGAAGTGACTTTCTTCATTTGGTAAAAAGAGCCAGAGGCCACCCCTCCCACTATGTCCTATGCAGTAGACTCAGGAGGGGTAAAAGAAAAACAACTGAAGCTCAATAAACATAGATCCTGAGAATGGCTCCAGGCTGGGCTCTGTGAGTGTCTCAAGAGCTAGCACCTCTGGGAAAAGCTACTGATTGCCTCAACCCTACCCAGAACCTAGCCCCATCACATTAACTTCAAGCTAGAGGAAACAACTATCTTCCTCATTTGTGATACTCAAAGCAGATCTCCCTCCCACTGAACTAGCCTGGGAGGGAGGGTCACAAAGTTCTGGGTAAGGCAGAGCTTCTTTCTGCCTACTCAAACAAACTGACTTAAGAAACCAATCAAGCCACATGAAAACCAAACACACAGCGACTCCACCAAGAGACTGGTTATGGACACAGGGAAGACACAAGATTCACCGTCCCTTCCTCCCCCCCCCCCCCGCACAAAAAATTGAAGAACTATTTTTTTTACATATTCTTTATATTTTTAAAAGTGTTACTTTTCGTTTTGTCATCATTTCTACTTTAAGTGTGTGGTTTTTTATTTTTTAACTCTTTTTACTCTTTTACGTTTTGGTCTTTTTTTGGGTTATTTTAATGTGACTTAATTGCTGTTCTGCTCATCCCCAGATATATACTCATCTTTGATTATTAGACCTTATCCTGAATTGTGTGCATATCTAATTCAGAAATTGATTACTCAACCCATGAACTCTCAGCTTTAACTCTTTTAACAGTAGTATTATTTCTTTATATTTATATAATATTTAAGTGGCTCATTTTTAAACTTTTTAACTTTTTAATTTTTCCTTTTTTCTTTACTTTCTCATCCTTT